CTTTGTTGAGTAGCCACATTCTCCCAACTGAGCCTGGACTGAATGCCTACCCATAAAGCAGCTCATTCTGGTGCCATACATGGGAATCGCTGAGACCCTGAAGAAAATCTCCTGGGGACTCGCTCTTTGGTGTGGTTTTAAATCGCTTTGGGAGTGCGTGATGCAAATGAAGAACTGGTGAGGAAAACATTCAGAGGAGACAAAGCTTCACACTAACAATGTGTATAAAAGAATGTCCCACGGCCACATGAAGCAACACAAAAGCCAAACTGGCAGTTGACTTAGAGACCTCGGAAGACCAAAGAGACGGCCTTTAGTATTGAAGATCGTCTACGAGGGGTTTTGAATCTGTTGGAATCAGGCTTCTCGTCAGCTGTCTGTTGCCATGACAAAATACCAAACAAAAACGACCCAAGGGGGGGAATGATTTATTCCAGTTCATGGTTCAGGAGCTACAGTTCAAAGGGACAGGGAAGGCGGGCAATAGGGCTGAGTCACAGACGCAGTGATAAGTGCACAGCTTGCTCAGAGATACAGACAGCACGCAGAACAGGGGCTCGGCTACAATGGTCAAAGCCTATGCTCCTAGCAACCTACCTCAGATAGACTCCCCCCCCCAACACCTGCCAGAGAGCCCACAGTTGTCCAAAGTGGTCATCAGTTGGGAACCAAGTATCCAAACACATGAGCCTGTAAAGGGCACTTTAGCTTTAGGGTACTTTGATCACGGAAAGGAGTAGCGATGGTTTAAAGAGCCTATGTGGAGCAGGAATTGGATGAGAAAAAGAAGATAACTGTGAGACTTGGGAAAGGGAAAGAAAGAAAGAAGAAGGAAAAGGTGGCTTTGGGGCTGCAGGGGTCCTGGCTGCTCCCGGGGGGCTCCTTGCAATCCAAAGAAATCTGGCAACTTAATCATACATCCCACCCAGCCAAGGCCCTACTTGCTGCCCCACGTGGCCATCTTTGTGAAGACAGGTCTTGGGAGGAAGCGGCTAGTCTTCATGTATTCTGAGATCTTCTTCAGGCCCTGTGAGCGAGAAGGATGGAGCAGGAGCTCAGGTCAGCGGCCCCACTGGGATAAGCAGCCCCACGCCAGGAACAGCTGTCCCCGTAGGCTCTAGTATTAGAGTTCTGAATGGGGAACTCGTCAGTTTCCTATAAAGACTCTATCACAAGCTTCGTACCCATAGAGATTATGTATATGCTATTCTGTCTATGTATTGTTACATATATGCTCAGATCACCCACTTGATAATCCAAGATCAGTCTCACTGTGCCTACATGTTAACAAAAGTTGAGGTCCAGAGGTGTTAGGTGGCTCTCTCCTGCTCACACAGCTGATCCCTGGTACAGGACCTGAGTCAGCTTGGCTCTAGGGCTCCCATTCTGTGTACTCTCGCAGGACACCCCATCACCCCCTGTCTTCACAGACATGCTCCTTTTCCACAGGGAACATCCTCCTGGCTGGTTTACACAGAAAATACCTGGAACAGTACAAGGAGGTCCAGAACAGGCCAGTGCAGCACACCAGAGAGCCCAGATCTCAACAACTGACCTGGCAAACTCTGGATGAAGTGCCCAAGGGGAGGAGGGGCAGCCTGGAATGTTGAGTCAGCTCTAATCACTCCTGAAAGTAGAGGTCCAACCTGTTCTATGTGGAACCTCAGGCCAATCTCACTGTGCCCCAAGCTGCCTCATAATCAGCCCTGCTATATACAGAGACTGTGCAAAGGGATGCTGGGTGTGTTTTGTTCCATCTTATCGGTAGGGCCAGCACAGATAATCCCTACAGTGTTCAGAGACCTACAGCTGACTGTTATCAAGGGGGTGGGAGCTGCAGCCCTCGCTACCGCTGCCGTGGCCACAGCAGCTCCAAGGCCACTGCATCAGGACCAGAGTCAGAGCTGGTAAAAACTAGCTGAGATGCTGTATCGCTTGATTTAAGGAGATGCCAGACTAGAAACCCACTGTCCCACCGCCTGCAGTTGCCAAGTCTCGGAAAGGAGAGATTATGTGGGTGTTAAGGAGAGTCCGGGGGACTCATGCAGTGAGGCCCAAGCTTCGATCCCCAGCACCCAGCTGACACCATGTCTGTTAGGTCCCCATCTCTCTGCCATACTCAGTCTCTGAGTGGAGTTCTTTCCATGTTTCAGTGGGCCTGACACTGAATCTCATATAGAGGAGAAGGTCAGTAATAGGAGAGAAATTAAGAATATGAATACAAAATGGCTTCATCGAGACATGGTAAAAGGGAAGAAAAGCCCCACACCGTGCCACACTTTAGGATAAAACTCTGAATAGGGCCCCCACACACTCTCAAATCTAGCACACACACAAAAAAAAAGAAAAGGAAAAGAAAAAACCAGCCCTGGGTTTGGCATGTACTCAGATTGGGATCAAATCAAGGGAAGCGTCCTGAAGATCAGGCGTGAGTATTGTCTACACACGGCTATTTCACACAAATCCTACCAAGCCTCCCTCTCAGAATGCCCGTGGCTTACACAGTCCTGCCATGTTCTGCCTTCTCCACAGCATCCTGGGCTATATAACCCAGACACAAGGGCCCAAGGCTCTTTTTTTTATTTTTTTTGACAGAAAATAGAACATAGCTACTGCCTGCTGACCTTAGAGGCCAGATACCAAGGGGAGCTGGGTATCATCTCTGCTAGTAAGGGACTCACCCTCTATAGTCTGTTTTCTTGTCTATCCAATGGGACTCACAATTCAATCTGCCCTGTTGATCATAATGAAAAAGTTCACCCAATAAAAAAAAGATGCTAAGCACAGGTCCTGCCAGACGCACTAAATGCCACTGTTTTGCTGTTTTTAACTTAGTTCCAGGACTAAGGATTTATCAGAGCAAGGAAGGAAATTCAAGAAGAAAGAGGATTAGGACATCACCTCAAAGCGGGAGATGAAGTCCTTCAGGTTGGGGAATGCTTCCAGGCACTTGGGTTCAAATACTTGGTTCCTCTCCAGGACATCATAAGCGATGAAGTCCACGAAGGTGATCTGCAGGAAGCCGCTAGTGAGTGGACTGGAATCTGGTAACCTGGAAAGAATGGTAGCTCCTCCTCCTTCCTGTCCACCCTACTCCTTTTACCTTGTCTCCTGCAAACCATGGCCGCTTGCCCAGGAACTCAGAGTAAAGCTTCATCATTCCCGGGAGTTGCTCCAGGTACCCTGGCTTCAGCTTCTCCTACAGCAGAAAACACAGTGACCACCCTCAGTCACAAGATTCTGGGCACGGGCTGAGCTCACAGGGCTGTGAAGGCCCCATCTGAGCAGAGGTGTGGCTGCCTTCCAGAGATCTGGCCCGGGTTAATCCAGACTCTATTCTGTTATGTCATCACTGATTAGATCTCACAGGTACCAGATGCAGTATCAGAGGTGATGAGAAGCCACGCGGGAATACCCTGTCCCTGAGACTCACCACTGATGTCCAGAACCACTCTTGTGGGTCATATTCAGGACTACGTGGGCAGGCTCTGCATAACTCAGGTGTTATGCAGAGTCAAAGAAGCAAACAACTAAAGCACTCTGGAAAAGAAGTTGAATGTTCTACACAGTACAGTGGCAGGAGAAGGGCAGGACTTGAGTGTAGCTTCAAAAATGATGAGATCAATTTGAGAGGGTGAAAGAAACCAAAGAGAGAGTTGATTGGCTGTGGATTGCCTATGAGAAACATCTGCTTACCACCATGGGCTTCCTGGGACTGGCTCTGGGAATCTGCTTGGGAAGAGTCACCAGGTAGTGTCGCCCTTCCATTTCCAGGTGGCACCAGTTTTTCTCATTGTTTGAGAGTGAACTATAGGAACACCAATGATTTAAGCCAAGTGGAAGCCATAACCCAGGGCAGAAAGGGGAAATCAGAGCTGAGGATTCTAAACATAGTCTTTCCTGCCCAGGTATTGATGCACGACTGTGGAGGTTTGCACTGCTTGCTAAAGGTAGTGAAGTTCACTGAGAGTTTCGTTTGACAAGACTCTGAGGTTGAGGGTCACTCTGTGGGCGGGTGTGTGTGTGGTGGGGGTGAATGTGTGCACAAGTGCCTGGTGGGGTTGGTTTTGTTTTGGTAGCTTTGACTTGGAGACATCTTGCTTTGTAATCAGGAAGGCCTTAGACAGCCCCATCTTAGCTCCAGGCTGTACCACAGGACTGCTGCCATCCAGAGCACCATTTCTAGGTGAACAGGGCTAAGAAGATTAGATGCTAAACACATGGAGGAGGTGAGAAGGCAAAGGTACAAGCTCCTGTTCCCCCACTTCACCCAGCCCGGAGTAGGACTCACAAAGTCAGGGTTATAACAAAGCCGGGCTAGCATCATGCGGTTGTCCATAAGCTGATTCTCCAAAATATCCACAAGGATTCTCTCCTCCTCCGTCTCCCCACCTGCGGCACACACAGCACAGACTCACTCTCAATATCCCACCGGACCAAGCCCAGGAGGATGGCCACTGTCCCCCGACCTGCAGCCAGCCCCACTCACACAGGTTGTGCTTGCGGCCAAGGTAGCGCAGGATGGCGTTGCTCTGAGTGATCTTGTGGGGCCCGTCAATTAAGTAGGGCAGCTGGAGAGACAAGCAGGGATGGTCAGATGGGGTCCCAGCATCCCTTTCTTGGGTAAGGACAGACATGGGGCCTGGCACTCACTGTGCCTGGCATAGAAACTTTCTATGAACGCAATGCACAAGAGTGGGAGAGCTGGGATACAGCCCATACTAAAAATATGATGTGGACAACCAGGGGCGGGCGGATGAGAAATCCAACTCAGACCTTCTGATCTGTGCAAAATAGGGACACCATAACCTTCCCCAAATCTCCCTCCCCTGCACCTACATTGGGAAAGTCCAGGCCCAGCTTGAATTTCTCGTTGAGCCATTGGCTTCGGTCATAGTCAGGAGCTGTGGTGGACAAGGGAACATGAAATCAAAGGACCCAAGTGTTCAGATCCCTTTCCCAAGACCCTCCCAAGGAATTGAAGACTCT